TTTTTTTTTTTTTTTGATATATTGTGCCATACTCAAGTCCTCAGCTTGTCCCTCACCTAAATTTCACGTCTTAGATCTACTACTGCCCACAACATTCAGCCGTCTCAAAATAAATGATCACCATTCAATCCACAAGCAGACTCCAAAAGAGGAAAAAAGCAAGTCACAAAGCCAAAAAAAAACTAACAGGATAGATTGGTGATGTAGTAGAACCACAGTCACAAAAACGCATCATCGTCTTTTTTGTTTTTTTTTTTTTGTTTGAAAAATCCAACAAAATATTCCAAATCGTTGTTATCGCAAATTATCAACGCCACCACCGCCGTTACCCACTAACAGCACCTTTTCTTCTTCCTCCTCTACCACTACAGTCAACAAGAACAGGCAGAATGCTTTCGAACTCAACCTATCTATTTCTATCTACTAGCAGCAGAATTCACAGAATAGCGGAAAAAAGTGCGCACTAACCAAAAAGCTCATTGCCGCCTTCTTCATCAGCACACAAGCACAACCTACTCTTCCCGTTTTTTCCACTGTAAACACACATACACATAGATACATACATATTCCACTCTCTTCCAGCTGGTCTTCAAATCTACAGAAAAAAAAGAATAAAAAACAGATCCCATTCCTTTTTTCTATTGCTTCCTCTGCTTCTGAACTGCATACTTTTTTTTTTTTTGCTCTTGTTCATAAAGCTCTACACACACACATACACACAATAAATTCAAAGAACAAAACAGAGATAGCAAAAAAAAATTGTTGAATACAAACAAAAATTACTATTTTTATTGCCACTCCCCTCTTCGACTGTCAACACATTTAATGTTCGTAGTAAAAAAAGCAGAAGAAGCAAACAAAAGACAAAACAAAAAAGTCAAACTTTTAGTGTTTACAAGATCAGAACTAAAAAAATAAAAAGAAAAAAGAAAGAAAAAAAGACTAATACATATTCATCAGCTAATTTTTCAAGAGACTCTATAGAACTATGTAAATCTTGTTCTTCAACCAGTTTTTTCCTACAACATCAACCAATTCACCACTGCATATTACTTCTCATTCATTTGTAACCTCTTTGGTTTTTTCTAACCTCTTTTCGCTCTCTAAAAAATGTTGAGAACACTAAATCAACACAGGAAACAAAAATTTCGTGCTAAACATCCAATTCATGCAGATGAGGTCGTTGATACGGTACCCAACCAAACTGTTGTCAACTACCTAACTCATAAAGGCGTCATTTAAATCCTTGTCTCTCAGCAGAATTTACTTTAACCATATCTCTTCTCTACCAAATGTTGTTGTCGAAAAAAAATTTAGTAAATAAAGATCCAAGAAATCGAAAAAAATTACAGAAAAATACAGTCCGATAACTTCACCTCAATGGCAAAACGTTCACAAGTCCGTGGATAAAAATGATGAAAAATACACTGACATTGAGTCATTTAATGTCACTGCTTAAGAATGCAGATTGCCAAAGAAGCTAAAAAATTTTAAATTTTCCAAAATCCATATTACGCAAACCGTTTCGTGCCCAGTTAAAGGAAAGAGTAACAAATGAGTGAAATGACGTCAACCACAGAACAATTGAGTCAACTGACCAATCAAACAAACAAGCATAAATATAAGAAACCAAAAAAAGTTACTAAGCAAATTGATAATTGTCTAACTATAGTAAATCAGCAGCGCACAATTCATTCAATAAAACTGTCACTTGTTTGTTTCTATATTTGGAAGGAAAAACTAGAAAGCAAACTTTATCAAAGTCAACTCAGTCAAAATGTCTGCTCCATTTTTGCTTTACTTAAACAAATTTAGAACACAGGATCAAAATAATCCAAACTTTTTCTTATCATATTTTACCCCATCATTATCATTCAACATTTAACACACTGTCATCATTCAGCTAACATCATACAGATCAAAGCAAGCACAAAAACATACACACATGCATACGTACTTAGACCATTTATATAAGTCAGTACCTGTTACTAAGCTAATTCTGCTTTTTATTTTCAATGCAAAAATATCAAACTGTATAAAACAAAAACAAAAGAAAAGATAACAAAAAAATTACAACACATTTTCAATAAATTGACAGATATATACAAAAAACGCAGATCCGATGCAAAAAAAAAACACCTCATTTTCTCACCATCTCATTCAATAATATCTTAATAGCTCAATACCTTAACCAATGTAGTTAAACGAATTAACAGAGAAGCTACAGCCAAACTATCAATTTCATTGTCCTTTTTTGAAAATTGTTATTTTAACAAAAAAAAAATTATTCTTTTTTTTTTTTGTACCTATTAATTCTTTCATTTTGTTTAAAAGCAACAACACAGTAAACCAAATAAACAAAGCAAAGAAATATGGTAGAAGGGAAAAAACAAATCAAATTTGCAACTCGCAAATCCAGACAGGCACTACAAAATAGCTAAAGATCGAACGATAATATTTTGCAAACTGAATAACAAAAAAAATTTCATTTTTTGACTAGCTTCTTAAAACTTATATTTTAATGAAAACTAATTTTTTTTCAAAAATATAGATATTTCAGATAAACAAAAAGTTACGCTAAAAATAATGAAGAAAGTGATCAAGCACCTTATAAGCCAACACAACGAATGGACAACCAAAAATGCTGCTGAATTTTCTCTAGCCAACAAAATCTCCAAACAGTCTTCATTCTATACTAAATTACAACACCTCAGTACCAACAGAAACAAAAATAAAAAAAAAAAGAAAACGACAAGTAATAAAAAACAGTAAACATCTTTTTTCTGCTTCTTTTTTTCTGTACAAATTCTATACATCTCTATGCTTTCGATCGACTAATGGATTATCGTACTTGGACACCGACAAGAAAACAAGAAAAAAATTCCTCGCTGAAGAATTAGCGAAAACGAAGAACTAACTCACTGTAATCCACAATCATAATTAACATTACCATCACCAACATCTTCATCTGAATACAACCTCAATTTCTTTACTTCTACTGACTCAATAATTCAACAATTTAAAACAACAAAATGGCTCAAAAAAGTAAGCAAATTTCATTGGCAGCAAACAAACAAACTATTAACGACAGACGTCCAGTAACAGCCCTAGAAAATGCCAATCAGCTAACTTTTGAATCTTTTCTTTCTGTTGAAAATCCGTAATTGAATCACCTGACTTCAGTAAAAAGGTATTAGGCTTCAAAAATCACCCTTCTTCCTTTAAATCTTTTCTGACACAGGCAATAAAAACCAGAAAGACCAGCACAAATAACAACAACAAAACTTTGCACCAAAAATCTAAACCGTAACTAAAAGACTTGCTAAAAGTTAAACGACAATAATAAAAAAAGATCATAACTCACCAACTTCGCAAAACACTTCATAAAGCTTTTATGTTTACGATGAATTCACCTGTACAAACAATACAATACCAAAAACGTTCCGACTTCAACCATCCATTGACTTTCCCGCATTTACCCGTTCAAACTAATAGCAGCATATTTTTTGATATATCCCCTGCTG